GGGGGGGGGGGGGGGGGGGGGGGGGGGGGGGGGGGGGGGGGGGGGCTACTTTTACCTTTTTTGATTCGATCGCCTGGTTTTGATTGAGTGCGCCTCGATGGAGGTTCCTTCCTGTCAACGCGACAGCGAAAGTCTAGTAATTGTGCTCGTTACGTGCGTGCCCATGTTTTTTCGCGATGGCTTTGGGGGGGGCGTGTTCTGCCTCTCGAAGGTGCTTACTCTTTATTCGTCTTTGGGGGTATTTCGTCGATTTTTGTGCCCCTACCGTTGGTGTTCGGCAGGCATGTTCTCGAACCACGTGTCCGTTGGTTGATTGGCGGTTGTAAGTTGTCTCCAGATGAAGTTTTTTTCATCTTTCGTTTGGTACCGCGAGCCGCGTGTGTTACACCTGTACACTGCAAGCGTTCGACTTGTTTGCGTCCTCTTTGTCTTTCATGCGTGGTGATGTTGTTGTGTTTTATCGTGTTCCCCTCTGGGTTATGTCCCGCTGTTGTGCCCGTGTTCATCACAACATGGCACACTGCCTCTGCAATTGGTGGCAGTCGTGTTTTTGTCGACGTGCAGCGTTTCTGCCTGTTATTTTTTCTTCACTTGATGCATGCACATACATACGACAAAAACCCTTGCTCACTTTCTTTTTTTCTGCGTTTCTTTTTCTCTCTCTCGCTTGCTGGTTCTGCTTATCTTGTCGCCTGCGAAACTCCGAAAAAACACATCACAACCACAACTGCAGCACGAGTCAACCTTCCGGGCAGACAAGACCTACACCCTCATCCAGAGGTTGGCGCACAACGTCATCAAGACGGGGCTCCGCAAGATCAACTCGTCTTACTCCCGCATTTCCCTCCAAGACCTGTGCGAGAAGGTAAGCAAAACTAGTATTAATAGAGTGTTTTATGCACCCCCCTGTCACGGCGCGTCCCCCCCGGTGTTTGCCATCGAGGTTGGGTTTTCGTCGCTTGGCAACGACGTTGTAAAACAAGCCAATCCACTTCGTGAGCTCGGAAACCAGGTAACCATATTTTTTTTTCCTCTGTTTTTTTTTGGCGGCAACCATAGTGGTGGTCGAGTAGATCACGTTGTGCGGGGTCGAGAACCCTCACTCCGCGCAAGGGGGATGATCGCACCACGTTGTGTTAAAATGGTCAAGCACCCTCGAGGCAGTTACACAGTGCTTACAACTGTCTCTGGAAGTGAAAGCACCAGAAAATACATTTGACTCATTCGCAGCTGTCATCGCAAGGAAGTAAGCACAAGATGCCGAACACCCTTGGCAGGATTCAGCGCACCCTTCATGCGACTCGCCGAATATCTCACGGCGCTTCGCGCTTGGTGATGTGAGAGCCTGGTCCGGTGAGAACCCGGCGTGCTCCGTCCCGGCTTTGTAGGGATGCGAGGTCAATGGTCTAACGACTACGGCATGCACGACTATGAGTACACACACACACACACACACAGACCTGTCACGGCGCTTCGCGCTTGGTGATGTGCTAGCCTGGTCCGGTGAAAAGCTGGCGTGCTCCGTCCCGGCTTTGTAGGGATGCGAGGTCAATGTTCTAACGACTACGGCATGCACGACTATGAGTACACACACACACACACACACAGACCTGTCACGGCGCTTCGCGCTTGGTGATGTGCTAGCCTGGTCCGGTGAAAAGCTGGCGTGCTCCGTCCCGGCTTTGTAGGGATGCGAGGTCAATGGTCTAACAAATACAGCTGGCGCGGCTACGTGATCACGCCCCCCCCTCCTCTTACTTACAGCAGGAGGCCCTCAGTAACGGAGGCAGGCGTAGGCCTCCAGAAACCTCAGGCACTGATACTGTGTGGGTCCCCAACACAACGGCCACTTGCGCCGCACGATTTACGCGTCAGTCCACCGGGCACAGGCACTATTCAGTCTGTCCGAAAAAAATCGTGCGGTGGCCCTCCGGTTGTGCTGCCACATTTTTTCTCTCCAAAGGATCGAAACACGCGTCTATTTCCGATGGTTGTATATATTACACGGGTGCAGAACACAGCGGGCTTTTCGAATTCGAGGAACGCGCGGTTGAGGACCTTTCTTACAGAGTTATCGGCGTCTCGTGCAGAGTCTGGTGCAAGGTTGAGGAGAAGGAGGCGTATTGTATTAGTCTTCTGGATTTGGGCATGTGTAGACCAAAGTGTTGCTCATTCGAGCCGGGATATTTTTTTTTGTCGTCGTTGTTTCTGCCGGTCGATTGGTCTGATGAAGGCCGGAAAAGGTGAAAGTATTGCCTCGCCGAAAGTACAACTATCAGAACATGGTGTGACGCTACGATAGAGCGAACGTGGTCCTTTTCCCCCGTGAAAGACGTGCCTCGATTTCAGATGTCTCCCGAGTCGCCTTTACACGAGGCGGAGCACAACTTCATTCACTACGCTGTAGGAACGCTCGTTTCATTTTGTGTTGGATGCATCCTTTTTTTGTTTTTCATTCACTCGTTTGTTGTGCGTGCGCTTACCCGTACTGGACAATGGCGGCGACAGGTGAAGCTCGAAACGGTCCAAAGCGCGGAATTCGTGTGCTCAAAGGCCATCAGGGACGGAGTCATCGACGCGGTCATCGACCACAAGAACGGCTGGATACAGAGTCGGGATGTCGTGGACGTGTACGCCACGGACGAGCCGCAACAGGTGCTTGCTTTGGTCCATCTCTCTTTCTTGTTGCTTTTGTTGTGTGTTGTTGGAGCAAAGACCACTCGAGCTGACTGGCCAACGAGACGACTGTCAGCCTTGTACAAGAACGAACTTCTGCGTTGCCTGTTCGCGATACTGCTGGTGGATCGTACTTATATGTAGGCGTTCACTACTTATGTTGCGTCGTCCGCGTACGGTAAATGTAGTATTTTCGAACTCTGCAACGAAGAACACCACAACATGCGTGTGTGGTGCCTCCTCATGAATGCTCGAGCGTTTTGTGACTAGTTCATCACGTTTTTATAGTTCACTTGTTGGTGGATGTTTTCACGTCATGGCTGTGTACGTCTCTTGGCGCAGGCGGCCCTGCAAGCTCGCGTTCGCGTGCCTGCAACAAGTATCAAAAAGCATGTGTGACCTTGCATTAGTGATTGCAAGTTGCTCAGTTGCATTTTTTTCGCAATCCAATCCCATTTGTTTCGCGTTCGTGCAGCGCCTCTTTTGATCAGTTTTTGCTCTAGGCGCATGTACGTGAACATACAGCTAACCGATTTCTCGCGCGCGCCCGTTAATTTGATTTTTTTTTGCAGGCCTTCCACAAGCGCATCACGTTCTGCCTGGACGTTCACAACGAGGCGGTGAGAGCGATGCGCTACCCACCCAACGCCTACAAGCAGGAGCTGGCCAAGTCTCGTCCCGGGATGGAGGACGATAAGACCGATGAGGAACTCGCCAAGGAGATCGAGGACGAGATGAACGAAGAAGACGGAGGACTCTAAGACCGAATCGACCTCGCTAAGACCACATTGACTCTTACGACCAGGTCGGCCTAGATCGAGGCCTGTCTGTCCTAGCGGACGTACGAAAGCAGCAGCAAGCAGCGTTACCTTACGCGAAAGAACCACCCAAGGACAATCAATCGATGTCTCTTCATCGAAGGGGCGAGCAATCTCGTATGGAACAGGAAGCGGAGACGCGTTTCCCGACGTTCGTAGGACGCTTGAAATCGTTTGCGCTTTTTGGCGGACTCTGACGGGCAGGGTCTTGCGCTGCGCGATATTTCAACAACCCTTACATCATGTGGGACCGACTCGTGGGAGGCTCGTCTACTGACCTTGTGTTTCATGGCTTCTAGGCTCAAAAGTTGTGTACGGATCGGTGCAGTTTTACTTGCAAGGAATGTGAGGAAATGATAGTTGCGGATTCTTAAAAACAGGACCGTTAACCTTGGCGCCTGGCTACTGTGGAGAAGTGGTCAGCAGGAAGACCAGCATGGAGGTCAAGGGCTCCCAACGCTATTCGTGTACTAGCCCACTTTGTTATTGGGGCCGGTGGTGCAGTGCCTGACGTGACCGACTTTGTGGCGAGGACACCCAAGTTCTCCACTCATTTTTTTCTTCGTGGATGGACATGAGACTAACGCCTCTAATGGAAGAAAGAAAGCTGCTGCTCAATCCCTCAACTAGGGCGCGAGGCTGGGGTGGTGGGCGTGCGGTTTCACAGAGGCACAACCCCATCACATTCCGGCACACTTGGTCGTTGCTTGCGGGCTGCAACATGAACGGCCGGCCGGCCCCTAGTGTTGCGCTCTGTCTCGACTTAGAAACAGAGTGCTATCTACGGCTGCACTCCTGTGTGTAACGAAACGAACTGTGTGCCGCGTCGCAAGTCGAAGCCGGTGCCGGACGCAAGAATGAGTCGCATCTTCTACATTGATGGTCGGACTTAGCCTCGTGGCGCTTTTTTTCACAAGCAGAGAAACACGCACAGGTGAGCGAACATCGTCCGCCTCTAGCTCCCTTCCCCCCTTTGCGAGGAGCATAACGACGTTCGCACCACAAAAATACTAAAAAGGGGTATGAAATGTGTTCCTGAGTATTGCTTCACTTCGAAGCAGGATTTTCCATGTACTTTCAAGGCACCCTACCGGGTATGCATTTTCGAGAGAAAAATCGGCGAATCAGGCGTCTATCCAACCCTTATCCCAACCCATGCCCCATACCCAAGTGGGGCTTCACCGCGCGTTCTGGCGCGTTACGGACGACGTTGGGGGGATGGCTATGGATTCTAGTCACTCGTTGTCACAGGAAGGAAACGTCTCGTCCAAAACGTACCGCCAAACAAAAAACTCAACGGAGTGAACGATACTATAAAGTCTACAATGTAGATGATCAAAAGAGAGGCCCACGTCACGCGAAACACAATTCGAACAAACGCACAGATGTGAAAGTAGGGCCGGGCGGCGAGAAAAATCAACGAGTGCAGCTCTTTGCCCCAGTTCGGAGGCGGCGAACAACAAACACCTGTGAGTCTGTGAGTGGATTCGTGCCTCCACAAAAAAAGAAGAAGACACCCCCCACGAAGGCAATACCGAGAAAGACCACGACAATTCAAGAGGGATCAAGATGTTTTCATGTCCCAGCTGGTGCTCCGTACGGGATCGGCTGTGGTGTTGGCCGTAACCGTAGAAGGAATACCCACAAACCAGTCGGTACAGCCAGTACCGACAGGTCTAAGTTTTGGAGACACCTGTACCAAGTCATGTTACCAAGGCGGCATCTTACTTTTGCAACTACTATGTCACACACCTCAAAGTACAAGCTCGAACCAACACAACGGACGACATACACGCTGGTATTCGAGTCGGGAAAACTCGGACAATCTGCGGCAATTCCCGAAAACTCGTACAGACCAGTCTCTCTAGACACTAGTATTGTTCATGTGCCGATTTTGTACAACCCATGGCTAGCAAACACACAACGCCACATCCACGGATTGGCACCAAGGACACATGCATGCGCACACTTTTACGACACAACGTCATGAGAACCACTGCTATATTCTTTCTGCGCATGAAGCACGTCAAGGGCTAAAACCAACTCAGCAAATCAAACGAAACTGGTATTCGACCATACATTGCAAAGATGCGGGACGAACCACCGACTTGGGCATTAAATATTTAGCACCTCTTCAGCACCTCTTGGTTCGACATCTTTTGCATATGATAACTCAGTATCACCACCTCTTGTTCAATGTCTTGCATTAAGCGCTGAACTCTTCCTTAAATATCCGGGTTAAAACATACAGTATCAACATATCTTCCTCAACGCTGCCTTTGGCATCGAGCATTCAGCATCAACACCTCTCGTTCAGCATCTTGTATTTCATACCACCTTTTCTTCAACATCTGGCACTAAGCTTTCAGTATCAACACCTCTTGCTCAACATCTGGCAGTAAACAGTCCGTGCTAATACATCGTCAACAAACCGAAACGGCAAAGTATGAACGAACGCGCGCCCCGTGTCTGTTCTACCATGATGAATTAGCCCGCTTGAAGGCTGTCGAAGATTGGTCCTTTTTGGGGGAACAGGTCGTGCCCTTCCCCGAAGTTCAGCAGGCTTGTGTACGCCTGCGTCATCGCCATAGAGTACCACGCCTCACACTCCTCCTGCGAGAAGGGAGGTTGACCGGAAACGCAACCAGCACATTTACTCCACCATACATATATCGGTGCATGTGTCACAACGTCCAAAACACACATGTATAATACAGGATTGGTTGGATGACGGTTTGGCGACGTATTGTTGAGGAAGTGCTGAAAGGAATGCCTGGTTCGCCACACAACGTCCGCCTCGGTGGAGCTAATAACGGGTGAGGCCATGATCTTGGAGGGGTCAGGTGGGAGGCTAGGCTTTGGTCCGGATGGAAGAACTGACGCGGTCCAAGATGGAGGGCAACGCAACGTGTCTCCTGCTGTTCACTACTCCCGTCGCAAATTCTACTGCTATATTCTGGGCAGTTCACTGACCCTCCGGCGCTTAGTCTGCGTGGAAGACTATTTGGGTCGGAACTTTTGCTTTCTTCCACATCATTTCCATATTCTCCATTACTTCCGTGCGTTTCAACCTCTGTATGCCTGTGCTGGAAGAGGCTGTGAGGCTGGACACAAAGGCCCAGCCGGTGTGTGTGTGTGTTTGTGTGTGTGCTTCTGTACCTCAGAAATCGTTCTTGCGTCACGAACGTACTTGCTCTGGTTGCTCTGGGGGGCGGTAAGTACCTGGAGGTTGTTGATGTACTCGTCGGGCTCCCGCTGCAGTCGGTCTAGAAGATCTGGCAGCTCGAGCCAGTTGTTCACCGAGACCTGCTTCGCGAAGGGAGAAGCGGCCACGGTGTTCCAGGCGATGTCCCCGTCCCCGCAGGTGGAATTGGACTTGGTGCCCACCACCGGATGCGTGAAGTCAAGCTTCGAAACGATGGGTATCGACCTGACCAGCGAACACGATAGAGAGAGCGTATGCAGACCCGATCGGTACTTACCAAGCAATATGTGTGTGGCAGTGAGAGCGTCCGCTGGGACAGCCGTTTAGGCAGAGCTATTTCCACTCTATAAACACATGATAAAAGCTGCGGCACCACCTAGTTCGAAACCGAATCCCGCGCGGAGCGTGATTGGACCTCTCATCAGGCGAGGAGGGAGATGGCAGGCGTTCACCATAAAGAACCTCTTATTTTTGCCGAGGCTCGTTTCGTGTCTTCTTCCATGGGGTAGACTAGCCCCACGGCGAGTATTTAGGTGTTCGTGCAGGATTCTTGACCGAGAGCATGTTCTGAAGGCCAAGTACTGATACGGATTTTTTAGGCTCACGTTCACCACTGCATAAGTGGAGGTGCGATCTGAATACGGAGGCAGTACCTGCGAGCGACGAACGCAAAAGCTTGACGAAACACGTGACGGACAAGAACGGAGACAAGTTCACATCAAGCGGCACGGCATGCTTACCCGGCCTCCAGGGCCTCCCACAGGCGGAACGTCTCGGGGTTGCGCCCCGCCGGACAAAGGGTGAACTTCGAGTCGAGCACCAGCTCCTGCCACGCTTTCGTGCTGATGCTCGGCCTGTTGGTGGCGCACTGAACGCCTGGGTTTCTCAACTGGTAGATGCTGGCGATCTCTACGAGCTCCTTCCTCCTCCCCTGCGTTTCAGGCCTGACCTGCTTGGCCAAGCGGTATTCGGGCGCGCGCGGAGCTGTTTTGTCTATTACGGGCGATGGTGAATGTCTCAAAAGGGGTCCGCGTTGGTTTCATTCGTCGAAGGAATCGCTGATAATATGGCCAAACCGCACAACTACTAGGGGGGCCCGCACCATCGCCGAGAGAATTTCGCCGCACTGTCGTGTACGACACGAGATAACACATCCCCTAGATCGGTTTTCAACGCTCGACTATTTCACAACTAAGAGGTTGCTTAAACGCAACGATAAGTTTTGGGAGAGCTCTCGACCAGAAGGCTTCAACGCCGCCGTTTCCGGCGCTGCGACTCTTTCTGCTGTCGATAAATCGAGCTTTAAAAATCGGTCCTGGGCGTGTGTTACCTTGTGTCACATGCGGAGTGTCAGGCCCGCACTTTTCAGGGGCGTTCTGTGCAGAAACCGCGATTTTTATGTTCTCTGCAAACCTGCTCCTGGTGATCTCTCTCCGGAGCGGAAAAGCCGCGTCACAACTATATTGCAGGTGTTGAGAGAGCCATACAACAAACACCACCCCGCGCTGATCAACGCGGCATACGATCCCTGTACGTTGAACAATGCTTGCGCTCGCCCTCTCCGAAGCGGAAGCAAGCCGTGATACACAAATTAGATGACATCTACACCACACCACACACCTGCAAGTTGAAAAACAACGATCTCCTTGAAGCGAGAGGTCGACGGTCGTCGCTGACGAAGGGGAACGTGTCCCGCGGCCCCAGCGGCAAGTACGGCCTCCTCGGCTCTCCGTTCGCTCTGCAAGGCAAAATAACCGTGGTTGGGAGGGAAACAAAACAGCAGGAGAAGGGGAGTACGTACTTGTTCATGGTATTGCGTGCAAAGCCTGTCTGCTGTAACCTGAGGCTTCCTTGACATAAGTGGATGACATACATTTCGCTCGTTTGCCAAGAAGGGACTTGGTTGACACACTCGGTACATTTTGGACTCGATTCGGATAACAAGCGGCATAGGCTCATACGCTTTGCGTAGCTTGGTCGATTGGTAGTTGGTGTGTGAGTGCGTGGGTGCCTTCAACCATCAGCTCGCCTTGGGGTTGACGACGATGAACTCATGAGTTCATCGCATCCTTGATGTGTGAAAACGGTCGGCGCTCGCGGCACAATAATTCAAGCGACAGCTCAGCGAAATTTGCAACAGTAGCGGCCATCGATACAAGACTACGATTTCACACCCTTGCCTTTCGAATTCTGGCACAACCGTCCTCCTAACAACGTACGTAAGTGTTGCTGTTGTCATGTACACAGGTCAGTTAACATTTAACAATAACATGGGTGTGCTACCTATCCACCATCCCCCTGTAGGCAAATGTGACACTTGAATCGGTGACAACGAAGTCATATCCCCAAACAGGGTACAGACGGAAAAATAAGAAACAAACGGCAGCGTCTCCGCCACTCGCCAAGAACATTTGGTCTCCAAGAGAGAGCGACAGGAAGGCAGGAAGGGCCGGGTAGGGCGAGAAAAAAGGGGTAAAGGGGTGGGAGAGAGAGAGAGAGAGGGAGAGAGAGAGAGACGCACTGTTCGTGAAACCAACTAGAGCACGAGGGCCAGAGAAGTGGGGAGCAATCAAGACCCGTGGCTTGCCTTTTTGCACCCGTTTCTTGTGGCGTCAGTGCAGTACGCACACCACAATACACAAAAGGCTGCTCATCTGGCATAGAGATACGCTCCGCAGCAGGGCAACCTAACCTGTCCTGGTTGAAGGGAAAAGCCCGAACGACGTTGAACCGGCACGAGGGCGGTATCCCCACGGGGAGATCGGACGTCCTGCAAGTCTCGTCGGAGATGATGAGCACCGTCGTCTCAGTCGGGTCGTCACAGGAGGCCTGCAGGTGAGACGCCTGAAACAACACACGGCGACGCCCAATCGCAAACAACACAAGCGCGAAACGTTGATAGATGTCGCTGCTGCTGTTGTCGTTGTACACAACGGTACGGATGACATGCAACTAGGGCCCCGAATCTTCTCGTATTCAGGTTCCTCAGATGAGAAACCAACCCATATTTTTCTACCATCAAATGTCGATTTCGAATTTTAGTTGTGGCTCATCCAGCTACATATCTTATCGGGTAACTTATCGCGTCGTACGTTAATTTGTGTCAGTGTCCATTCCAGGCTGAAATATTGAGAGACTTAGAGAACCAATTGGTGCACCTTCCGTTGCATGGGTTTCTTACCTCTACCCAGTACCACCCGCTTCCCACCCTTTCAAAGCGAATTAAGTACCCTCCGCTACTGCTGTATCGAGTTACAATCCAACTCAGGTACAACAACACGTACTCATGGACAAGCTAGAAATGAGCCAGCCCCTCGGTAAAGATATTGTCGAAACCAAACATCGACCCGTGGTTGACAAGTTCAAAGAAGCTGTTGATAGGGAAATAGACAAGAGCGGGTAACCCATATACCCACCCCTCTCTCGGACAAAAGTGTGTCCTGCTTCGCGGAGACCACTGACGAAAGGGGCGAACCACTCAAAATATCATTAGATGTGCATTTGAACCACTCAAAATATCACTAGATGTGCAATTGAACCACTCAAAAATATCATTAGATGTGCATTTGAAATATTTCCAACACAACCACGACAGCTAGCGCCCGCCCTGAATAACTTGGGCAACTCATAAAAACTTTTGTATGATCTAGCCTCGAAAACTTCAAAACCTAAAAACTTGAGCACCACTTGTGAGACCCCAAAACTACAACCTGCTTGGATGAAGTACAACATAGCGACCATTCGTACACCTCTGTAGCATGTCCCTCGGATCCAAGAACCCCAGCCTCGGCAGGCTAAAACTTGTTCGTGTTTGAGCGAACTCGGTGTACCCGCTTTGCTGTAGCATTTCAGACATCATCACAGGCATGGAATTTTGAATTTTATGTCAGGCAATGCTTCAAATTTTGATTCGAATTGCCCACAAGCCTGAGTTGTGCCGCCTGCGGCATGGCTGATCGGGCTATAACTCATAATAGGGCAAATCCTTCGTGGACGGGCTGTTTGTGGGAAATAATAATAGTTGAGAAATTGCATCGTAGAGACTCCTTGTTGCTGGAAATAATCTCACACCGCGTGTGTGTGCGCACGGCGGAATACGCCCAGAATTCGGTTTACTCCCGCCTCTGTCGAATCTGTTGTTCGCATCTGCCAAAGAAAGCATGCTATCATAGAAAACGGTGTGGAGGACCAAGGCATAACAAAAAAAACAGGAATCCTTTCTAACTCCGTGAGGATGGGTTTGGGGCTTTATAATTGTTCGAAAAGCATCTCCACTGTCCCTTCTTCTCCTCGCTCCTCGACAAGCTTTTGCTTAGACATGGGTTGTAGTGAAGGGGGGGGGGGG